TCATAATACTTCGTTCTTAAATGCATATTATTCCATAATTCACTCTACATTACCCCAGTCCTTTTCAGTCTCAAAAATGTCTCCCAGATAATTATCCCTGCCCGATAAAATCACATTCTCCCGAAAAATTTCGCGGCCCAAATTCCTGTACCCGAAATTCCAAAGGGACAACATAAACACCAACGTAAAAAAACTAATTTCACTTATTACTAGCGGCTGCCCGCGATTTTGTTCGCGTGGATCCCGTTTTACTCCTTTAGAGGTAGAGTTTTGTAAAATCCGTTCTTAACGGATGTCTGCACCCTATAATATATGGACTGCCGAATTTCAAGTTTGTAGGTGTTACAGATTCTGAGATTTCGTGATCAATCAGTGAGTGGTATTAATTAAAATAAACTAGCGGCCGCCCGCGACTTCGTACGCGTGGATCCCGTTTTACCCCCTTAGGGGTTGAATTTTGCAAAATCCCGTCTTAGTGAGCATCTACGTTCTAAAAGGAAACCGTGACGCGTTTCTGAGATTTCGTGACTAGTGAGTGAGTGGTCAGTCAGTCGCTTAGATAGATACTCGTATACGATTCGCAGAAAGATATTTGCATTGCCACGCAGGTTCGATAACTTTAGCTCCATATTTATTCGAATGCAATATAAAGTATCTTCAGTTCTTTAAAACTTTCTTATTCTACTCGTATTCTCTCAATAATGTGGTCGCAGGTAAAAGCATGCAAATGTCACTTTTAAAGTATGAAAATCAAAATTTTCTCTTCAGCAAGTTACGCCCGTATTCACAAACATTACTGTGAGGTTTCACAGTGCGCGTGGACGCACAGGGTGACACAAGAACCAATCACAGAGCTCTATTCAACGCTGCGCGCTGTGCGTTCGATTTGCTGCTTCACTTAAGCAAGCATCGTTTGTGACTACGGGCGTTAGAGTCGGAATCCTGCATTACTGGGTCCTGCAAAACTGGATTGTCGAACCAACGAGCCCTTAAGAGCACATACACGTCTTTTGACTTGGAAAATTGATAGCCTGAGATACTAAGTCAGAAATAAAGTGTGTACGTTTTTATCTTTTTTCGTGGTAAAACAACGAAACATATGAAATGATATCATCACGAGCACATTTATATTTCAGATTGTATTGTCTCTAAAACAGGTAGCGGCTTGACTGATCGCGGGCGGAGCCGGGTGTAGTGCTTGTATTAGCCGAGATATACGTGCTACTATGTGTCGTACAGGATGCATGTTGCTGTGGATACGGTATTTGTCACAAAATATTTTGATGAAGTTGTTCGCACGTTGTTCCACATCGCACGGTTGGTAGAAACCTGCATCCAGCGCCTTCCTGCTACCTTTATCAGGTCGTCGGTCCACCTTGTGGGTGGAAGTCCCACGTAGACGTGGATGTGGCAGTTATTGGGGGAGGCCTATGTTCAGCAGTGGACGTCCTGTGGCTGAAATGATGATGATGATGATCTAAATAATGTATTTTGTGTCTGTGATTCCAGAAGAGTTGACGTAGTAATAGAATCAACTCCTGTGGATATCGTAAAAGGCGACTAAGCTGTAAATATGCCAACATAATATTATGCTCCCTAAACGGTCTGGCTAGGGTAGGGAGTGGGTTGTGCTCCTGCAGCAGAGACTTCATTACCTGATGATGGTATAGATATAGATAGAAATGGATTGGAACACAAATTCATAAGCATATATCGCTCCATCCACGAAGACGCGCCCCACCATTCTCCCGCTAATGTTCGAGTGTTATCGGTACACGCTAAATCATCCATGAGTGCACACGCACACTATAATAATGACGCGCGGATTGCTCGGATCAAACTCCCCGCACCCTGCGCTTCCCTCGACTAAAAATTTGTGGGGCGCGTCTTCGTGGATTAAACAGTCTATAATAAAATTCATGGTTTAGACATGGTGGATATGTGGTAAGAAGCTAGTCATGCCTATAGTTATCTAGAGGTTAAAAAAAAGATAATGACGTTTATTAAACCGTCGTGGATTATCTATTTACCAAACCATCCTCTAAACAGGCTCGTAATTTTTCCCATTATTTTCAATTTAAACCACGCCCACGTAACCCTAAACACCATCATCATTTTTTATGAATACCCAACAATTGCGTAAACTCTTTATAAACGATAATGCTCGCAATGACTCAACAGGCCCAATATAAGGGTCACAACAGACATGCGACTTTTAGATTTTGCGACTGTATCTATGCAGCTTCGCGATTCGGACGTGGTATCGGAATCGCGCGTTTTGGCAACTCTATCGTGACAGCATCGCGATTTTGCGACATCATGCGTTCGGAAGCGGTATCGGAATCGCGGGTTTTTGCGACTCTATAAATGCAGCATCGGATTTTGCGACATCATGCGTTTCGATGCGGTAGGTATAGAAATCACGCGATTTAGCTATTATCTTTGCAGCATTGTGATTTTGCGACTTCATGTGTTAGGACACGGCATCGGGATCGAGCATTTTAGCAACTCTATCGATGTAGCCACACAATTTTGCAACTCCATGCGTACTGCAGTATCGGGATTGTGCGTTTTAGCGACTGCAGTCGCTGCGTCGAGCTTTTTAAAAGCGTTTGGCGTTTTTCAGTGTGTGGAACGTGTGATCACTGCATTCAGCTTCTAAAAAGCAGCTAAATCACTGAACACAGAATTGAACACAGACGCTAAAAGTTGCATGTGTGTTCTAAGATTCCGATACCGCGTCCGAACGCATCAAGTCGCAAATTCGCGATGCTGCATCGATAGAGTCGCTGAAACGGACGATTCCTTTACCATTCAACCGCATGTAGTTGCAAAATTGCGATGTTGCATCAAAAGAGTGGCTAAAACGCGCGATTCTTATACCATAATTAATTTTTAACTTTTGCGTTGCATTTAAATTAATTTAAACAGGTTTTAACGCGATACGCGACGCTCCAGTCAGCCTGTGACCGCGGCCGGTGCAACCCGGTCGAAACGTCAGGCAAATACAGGTAATATTTCAATGTTACCTAATCCGCGTATCGCGTTAAAACCTGTTTAAATTAATTCAATTTCAATACCATGTCCGAACGCATGAGGTCGCGAAGTCGCGATGCTGCATCGATAGAGTCGCAAAATGGCCGATCGCCGAAGCTAAAAGTAGCGTGTCTGTTATGCTCCTAAAGCACGCTGTTCACGATAACACAATCCGCTTTATGCCCCATCAGCGTAAACCACGTCAAATTACTGTAACAAAACCTATACCATCTGAGATACTGCCAGTTTATTGGCACTAAAATTTTAAATAAGGGTCCCGGTACACTTTACTGCAATAGGCATGGTATGGCGATATTGTTGTCACAAGTGGACTCTAAAGGTGGGCCCTTTAGTTTGTAATTAAAGAAGTAAAGGGTAGACCACCAGCAGGTAGGTTAATCTCAAGAATTAATGAGAATTTGATATAATTCGTCGTTTAACCATCACCATGACATATTGTACTTTTGTTGAATTTTGGTACATAGGTAAGGATATTGGACTTGGATTAGGACATGGGCTACTTTTTGTCGTGAAATAAAACTTGAAGGGAATAAAATGCGATGTGAATGTTTAGGTTAGAGTCGTTCGTTAGTCGTTGGAAAGGCGATAGTCACTATAATGCTGTGGGTGTACCGCAGGCTTGTTGCCTTCTAGTGTTTGGTAGAGCTTGTTCTCTACCACATAATCTTCGGTTCGGTTCTTAATTCTAGTTTAGTAGGCGTAAAGCATACTAAGTGTAAAGGAAAAAGGAAAAAAAAGGTTTTAACTTCTCCCCCTCTTTCTCGTAATATAAACTTTTCGGCCGTTTGGTGTAGTGGTTCGAAGTGGACTACTATTCCGGAGGTAGCGGGTTCGATTCCCGCACAGTACAAACATTTGTGTGCATGAACATATTTGTATTTACAAAAAAAAAAAGTATTTAAGTATGTTTATATCCGTTGTCTAGTAGGTACCCATAGTACAAGCTTTGCTTAGTTTGGGACTAGAAGCGCACAGTGTAAAATGTCCAAGGATATTTATTTATTTATTTATTTTCGATTTTAAAAAGGGCAGGACAGTGTGCGCTGACTCTAACGCTCGCGATGACGCTGCGATGTGTCGGCGGTATTTTTATTATGGGCTTAGGCAGGCGTAAAATTGTAGAATTTAGAAAATAGATAAGCTGAGTTACGGCCATATTTTAATGAGAGAAAAATTTGCATTTTATAAAAATGAGGCTATGATGATGGTCGTTAAACGGAATTAAATTCAAATACTGAAGATTTAGGACATTTTGAGTGAGTTTCCCTGCGTGATCGAATCANAACCGACATAGCTCGCAGAATTGCTAAAATCAAGTGGCAGTGGGCGGGGCACATAGCTCGTAGAGACGATGGCCGTTGGGGCAGGAAAGTTCTCGAGTGGCGACCACGGGCTGGAAAACGTAGCGTGGGCAGGCCTCCTACTAGGTGGACCGACGATCTGGTAAAGGTCGCGGGAAGAGCCTGGATGCGGGCAGCGCAGGACCGTTCATTGTGGAAAACCTTGGGGGAGGCCTTTGTCCAGCAGTGGACGTCATTTGGCTGAAACGAACGAACGAACGAAGGACATTTTAGATGGATTTTTAGATAGTAGATAAGAAAGCTAGTAAGAGCAATCTAAAATTATAATAAATTAAATATTAAATCTAACTATTGATTAACCTTGTGGTGGACGCCACGCTACGTTTTCCGGTACACAGCCTTCTCTCCAGAACCTTGCTGCCCCATCGGCCGTCAGTTCTGCGTATTATGTGCCCTGCCCATTTCCACTTAAGCTTGCTAATCCACCCAACCACAAGGTGGACCGACGACATCATAAAGGTAGCAGGAAGGCGCTGAACGCAGGCCGCTACCAACCGGGCAACATAGAAAGCATTGGGGGAGGCATATGTTCAGCAGTGGACGTCCCATCCCAAGCAGCACGACAGGCTGTATAGAAGCTGTATTTTAGTTTATTTATATGCCACAGGCTGTATAGTGAGGCTGTACAAGGACTGTATAAGCGCTTATACATCCTCTGTAAGTAAAAATTGGGCCCATTGTTATACAGCCTAATGCGTTATTATAGCTGTATAGTAGCTGTATAGTAAAAAAATTGGCTGTACTATAGCTGTAGAAGAGCTGTAGTATGGTATTGAAGAAAACAATATGCGTATAGTTATTCTCTTATAAGTTTCTTAAAAAGATAATAGTTCTTCATTGGTTTTTTAAGAAGATTACAAAGTGAAATTTATGAAACAATCGCATCTTTTTAGTTTTTAGTTATGGTGGGCCGCCAATTTACTGTGAAGTTAATAAGTCAAGAACAAATTTTGGACTTTAGGTCACTATCTATCACTATAATTGCAGATTCAACGTGCCGACACATTTTTACTGTGAAATAGTGCATTGTTTTGTGGAAAAATATTCACGCGCCCGCGAAATACTGAAGAATTCAAGAGGAATATTACCAAAACAAGTAAGTAAGTTTATGAATTTGAGGTTAGAATCATAAGATTGTTAAATAATACTGTACAACAGGTACCACTTATAATTTTTTTCTCTGAAAATCATAACTATATCTTCAGCAATACTCAAAATAATGTAAGAAGTCACATTTTCTTTTGTTGTTATTTGTTCGAAAATGGCGACAGATTTCATACAGCCTAAAAGATATCTGGAGAGTATTATAGATCCCGTGGTTTTACTACGCACTTTCTGGATACCATTACACAGCTTTTACCCTTTAATAGCCGTTATAATCGAATATTTTTATTATATAGGCTGTACATCAGTTTTCAGCAAATAAATTATACAGCTCTTTAGGGTTACGTGTTAAAAATGAAAAACCTTCTAGCATATTTCTTATCAATAAGTTTTGCAAACAAGTGACGCTTATTTGAACTATTTTCAAGTTAAACTTTCGGTTAAACTTATAAAATATAAATTTGTTTATTTCGACTTGTACTATCTCATTAATTAATTGTATATGTGATTTCAGGCATTCAGTCAACCAGAAAAGCCGTCAATTTCATCTACAGCAACGTGAGCAACAACATCTACACCAGTAGTTCCAAAATCTGCAGCACAATACGTCATTTAATATGTGGATGAATCTGATGTGGCAGCAACGGTTCCACAGCAAAACACTGATGTAAATCAGATGGAAAATTATCTAAAATTGATTTTAGACAGTGAAATTAATAACCCACAAACAATAAATGCTCTAATGGACAGCCAAAAAAAATGTTTCATAAATTGGCAAGTCTACTGTGCAGATAGAATACGAATTTTCCAAGTGTGACAATACCAAAAACACAGATGTGGTCGCATTGGGTAAAACCAGCAATCCAATCGAAAATGAAGCTTTTGTCATAAAACCAATTGATTCAGTTAATTATGTAACTGTTTTTCTTGTGTATCTAGTAAATAAGTAACTCTTTGATTATTTTTAGTTACTTAAGATATCCACTGATGGATATTTCTATTATGTTTGAAGTGCCATTGAAAACCCGTATAGACTGGTTTTTCAATGAATAAAAATATATTTTCTCAATGACAAGTTTTTTTATTTCTATTTTAAACTGTACTCGTATGTAAAAGGGGGGCTTTTCTAAATCCTCACTTTTATTATCGTATGCCGTTTTTGCTACGGACCCTTCATTAGACGTTGACTGAACTTGCGCTTGACTATAGATTGTTCTATCAATGAATTTGTTCTTTTCAATGTCTTCACATGTATCACTGGTTTTGTTGATGATTAGTTATGTTTTGCTATTTTCTTTGAATTTTCCTTTTTACTCCACCACATGTTTTTCTTTTTTTCCACATATTTCTATTCACCACACAACGTTTCTACAAATCAAGGACAACTGTCAGTAATACAGATCAAAGCTGTATTACAGAATTCATTTATTAATATAGTTCTATAGAATCATATTTGACAGTAGTTATGAAACTATTACACTGACAAGAGTGTACAATTACGCATTAATAATAAGCTTTAGAAAGGAGTTTTAATATACCATTATACAGAAACAAGTATAAAGTGATACCATTTTAAAACTTATAGCTGTAGTAAGAAAGTGATCACATGCAAAATACAGCCACTATGCAGCTTGAAGGATAACATTAGATTGAAGTGTCAAAAATGCTTAGGGTTTTAAAGTGGAGTTCAAATATTCTATTTTAAAGCCTTAAGTTTACACGGAGTATTTTATAAAAACTTAGTACAGCTTTATCTGTATAATAACGGTTTAATCACTTTTATAAGTAAATAATCTTTTCTTGACACCTTTATAGATCGCCAGTAGAACTCTAAGTTCTAATAGTGCTGTATATTTGATGTCGGCAACGCTTGCGTGCTGCTTGGGATGGCTTTGAAGATGATGATGATGATGAACCTAACTTTTGCACTGATTCAATTCAATGATTGTGAGTTATCTTTGCCATTCTCTATGGAGCAAATTGAATTCATCAAATGTCAGAAATAAAATAAATTAAATACCCAGTTCGCATGATAACTCAAAAGTCAAAACTTTAGTGAAAATATCTGAGCAAATATTCGTCACTGGATAATAAGCGGTCACAGGTATACGCACGGCTGGGCATAGGCGGTAGCGGTAGCGATTTAAATACAAACATATCGTCACTTATCATGAACGGTGTCATGCTTGAATGTAGTGCACCTCGATCCATTAGGATCACAAAAACAGCAGATGTATTATTATGTGTTTGGATGAGAGGGACTTATTTATATTCTTCTGATACCGACACCAGAAGAGCCATCCTTGTTCTAGCCAACACAAACGTATTCAATGATTAACTACATAAAACAGTTTTATTAATTCATTTCGAGTGTTAAATAAGAGGCAACTGGGCGTATTTGGTCTACGTTTCTATCGTATACGGTTTGTATATTAAAATGACAACAAATATTTAGTCACATTTATTTGGCTATGGGTAGGCAACGCATTTGGTAGCTAGGTAAATATCCCAGATCACTGTTTTCCAGGTAGGATCTTCCTCCTAAGATACGCATTACCTTCAAAAATCGCTAATCGCCTCCGCCTATGTTCCGCCCAGCTCAAACTGTACTGTATTAATTTCTTTGCAAGTTCATTGGCATCCTCCCGGGATCGTCTCAAAGGTTTGCTACGTGCACCTGAATTCGACTGCTAATGAAAGCAAAAAACATAGAAGGATGATTAGCACAACTAAAAGGCATTAGGATTCCATACCCAATGGGGTATCCGCTCTCACTCTTCCCGTGGATGTTGTAGGAGGGGACTAAAGGATAAATATGCGAACATCAGGCCTCCCCAACATGGCTGGACAGCAGGGGGTTGTAGGCCAAACCTCCACTTTGCCTATGGTGGATTATAGAAGGTCTTTCTGTAGTGGAGTGGAGATTAAATTACCAGATGATGATGACAATAACCAACTCTGTTAATATTGATGAACTTTTGCTGTCCCAGGTCTGATTTAGAGGTTTATTCACAGGACAATATATGTATGACTGAGAGTAAATCGAGTCCTTACTTTGTTATACCAGTTATCATCATCATCATCTCAGCCATAGGACGTCCACTGCTGAACATAGGCCTCCCCTAATGCTTTCCATGCTGTCGGGTTTGCGTCCTGCGCCTTCCTGCTACCTTTACGATGTCGTCGGTCCACCTTGTGGGTGGACGTCCCACGCTGCATTTTCCGGTACGCGGCCTCCACTTCAGAACCTTGCTGCCCCATCGGCCGTTACCTTACCATAATACCAACCTTACCAGTTATACGAACCTTTATATTTATCATTATTTCAATGCAGTTTACTCGAAGATAACATTATATTTCCAGGAACAAAATTTCTTTTCCATAGCCTTAAGCTACTGTTAATTTCATTTCTTTGAAGGAATTGCTGCGAGTTTCCCGTATGAGGTTTTTCTATGCTTATTTTATGTGCCTCGAGCTATGCGAGTTCAGAACTCATTTTGCGAAGTTCTCCATGCTAAAAGCATGTTAAAGTAACAAATCATACAAAAGTAATCATGTTGCAGACTGGTTGCAGTTGCAGGTTTTAAAGTTTGTTATTTAATTTTGCGGTCTTTGAGGAATTTCCGTTTTGATGGAAAATACATATCACACACAGTCGGCCGGTCGGTGTAGTGGTTCAGAGCGGACTACTATGCCGAGAGGTCTCGGGTTCGATTCCCGGCCGGGCAGAAATTGAAATTATGAATTTTAATTTCTGTGACGGGTCTGGGTGTTACTATGTATAATATGTATGTATTTAAAAAAAAAGTATATAAGTAGTATATCCGTTAAGCTAGCACCCATAACACAAGCATTAAGTTGCTTACTTTGGGGCTAGCTGGCGCTGTGTGAAATTGTCCGAAGATTTATTTATTATTTATTATTATTATTACATATAACGTCTTCAGGGTCTAGTAGTTAGAATTTGATATTTTTTAGATCCTTCTTACTAGGTTTGATTCTAAGATGCGACTAGCAAATTGAAGATTATTTGTGTATTGTCCTTATGTTGGTTAGGATCGCCTAAACACCGGAAAGTGCAGCATGGGACGTCCACCTACAAGGTGGACAGACGACCTCATTAAAGGCCTTTTAATTTAGTGCATGGATATCTCTAGAACACTTTTAAGAAGAGAGCGTATCTACATCTTATAGGCCGGCAACGCACTTGTAACGCCCCAGGGACTACAGGTATCTATGGGCGACGGTAATCACTTACCATCAGGTGATCCGTCTGTTCGTTTCCCCTCCTGTCCCATAAAAAACAATAATAAACTTGATTGAACCTTCACCCCGTTTCGCAGCTCCTAACCCAAGGTATGCTCTGTGACTTGACAAATATCCGCCATTATTAAAGCTAGAAGGCGCCTATTGAGGTAAATGCGTCTCTATTTGTTACTGCTCATCGCTCGGAGCACTCCTGAGTGATTCCCGAACGGTATTCCATTAATATATTGAGTGTGTGAGTGTTTGTTCGGTTATATTAGGGTAGAAGTCAATGAAATTAAATTTGATGGGGCGGACGCGCCGGACGGCTCGTGTGTGAAAGACGTAAAAATACAATGGACTTTGTAGGTTACAATTCAGAGGGCAAAGGGAATTAGGAAAGTGTGACCAATACGAGCAACATTAATACATGTCATTGAGCTGTGACGCCCAAACATTACTATGAGGTCTCACAGTGCGCGTGGACGCACGGGGTCACACACGAACCAATCACAGAGCTCCATTCAACGAATTTGCGTTCGATTTGCTGTTTTACTTATGCAAGCATCGTTTGTGAGCGGCGTAAAATTCTAGGCAAAATGAGTTAAAAAGTTTAATAAAGCAGGAACGTATCACGTTGTCGCGAAGTGGTGAAAGTAAGTAGTAACTGTGGTCTAGCAAGACCACCGGCTTCAGACCCAGAGGTCCCGGGTTCGATTCCCAGTGGGGGTAAAATTTTCTACTTGGTTTAGTTGGTAGGGCTTGTTCTAAGTTCACCTGGCTAGCTACCATCATCTTATCTAAGTCTGTCACTATAACAACAATGTTAATAGCATTGTTGTGTTCCGTTAGTTGAAGGTCAGATAGCCTTCCTCTGTGGTTGAGGATTCCGGGTGAAGCTCGTTTCCACATTCGGCCTGATCATCACTTTCCATCAGGTGAGATGCAAGGCAAGAGCTTCCTCGTTCGATGCTAAAAAAACTCTTGTTCCAGATTTTCGCCCGTATTAACAACGATGCTTGCTTATGTGAAGCAGCAAATCGAACGGACAGCGTTGAATAGAGCTCTGTGATCGGTTCGTGTGTCACCCTGTGCGTTCACCCGCACTGTGAGACCTCATAGTAATGTTTGTGAAATGTAGGAATAATCCTGATTGTGGGACCGCAGATTTTCTTCACTAATTAACTTTTAAAATAATTCACTCAAAACTTTTCCTTTGAAACGCATTGGCCGTTTTCCCATATTTTCATTAAAGGCCTATGGAAAATTTCCAGAATAGTTGTAGTTGGATATTATGTAGTTGTAATAGAGATCATTTTGCTACGAAAATGTAGAGCATGAAGTGCAGTCGCCTGTACTGTATTTTTATTAAAGTCAGCCATTTTTCGGATTAGTGTTCGTACTAGTATTTGCTCGAAAAAGCTGTTTATTACACTAATTAGCAACTGAGATTACTGAGAATTAAAAAACATAGCCGTCATTTGGCGCAGTCGAGTAAAAATAATTTTCGGAAAGTATGTTTTATACAGGGTGTTAGGTAAATGGGTATATGAACCGACACTAGCCCATGTTAACATGGTCATTTGGTCATAGAAATGGTATGGTGAAGTCAGAAATTTGATACATTTAATTTTTTTT